CATTAGTGTTCACATTCGGTGCACCCTGCACCGCTCTAGCCATTGCCTCCAATGCCGCAGCCATCACATTGTCATTACGACCATCCATATTCTGATTATTTCCAAAAATAACAACAAGGTTAAACAACCGTTCAACCAACATAACCATAAGACAAACACAACTGACTCAACGCTGGCTCTGATACCACTTAATGTAACACCCCCTTTCTATACCCCCAAATAAACAAATAAATCATTTAGGCACGAATTCAAAATTTCATCAGAGTACATTTATATCATGGCATAAAAGGGGCATATCACATTATACAAAGAATTCAACACATACAACACCTGCTCAACAGATATGCAACATTGGGGCAACACCCACAAGAAAATATTTGGAACAAAGGCGGAACATCCAAATATTTCATAATCTCCAAAACGTGTATTCACATATACAATCATCATTCACCATGTTTATAACACATATCGTCAGCAGATACATACACAGGTGTATCACAAAAGAATCAAAATAATCCCTAACTACCCGGTGCCACATATCAGAGCCGACCGACCAAAACGAATGAAGCCACGCTTCACAAGGACTCCATCAATCTAATATGCAATGCCTCATGGAGCATTATAAAATAGCAGAAGCGTGAGAAACAATATCATAAAATATAATGCATATAAACATATATACATATACATATAACATCCAATAACATCGTTCGCGTTCTCACCATAATTCATCTCACTACATCGTACATCACAATGTATTCACAAATATCTATTTACAAACAGAACACTAAGCATATACAATATGCATCATCAATGTTTATATCAATTCATAAACATACACATATATACATATATATTCACACATACATGTATCTTCAAGCATTCCATTCATGCCAATTATCAACAACTTACATAAACATCTACAATCATGTTTATTCACCATACATCATGCAAAGATGATAAATGCAAATCATAGAGGCCAACTCGCTACTCTACGCAAATGTAATACGATACCGACTTAATCGTCCATCAGATTCTCCTAAGAATCAATTCATCACGCCCCTCACAGGTACACTATAACTCATCAAACTCTCCTAGGAATCACATTACTCATCGTACTCTCCTAGGAATCCTATCACTCATCAGAATCTCATAGGAATCACATTACTCATCGGACTCTCTTAGGAATTCTATCATTCATCAGACTCTCCTAGGAATCACATTACTCATCTGATTCTCCGAGGAATCACATTGCTCATCAGATTCTCCGAGGAATCACATCGTTCATCAGATTCTCCGAGGAATCACATTGTTCATCAGATTCTCTGAGGAATCACATTGTTCATTAGATTCTCCGAGGAATCACATTGTTCATCAGATTCTCCGAGGAATCACATTGTTCATCAGATTCTCCGAGGAATCACATTGTTCATCAGATTCTCTGAGGAATCACATTGTTCATCAGATTCTCCGAGGAATCACATTGTTCATCAGATTCTCCGAGGAATCACATTGTTCATCAGATTCTCCGAGGAATCACATCGCTCATCAGACTCTCCTAGGAATCCTATCACTCATCAGACTTTCCTAGGAATCAACAGCACAAGAATGTACTTCATGATGCTTCACATGCAAAATGACTCCATACACCTCTTGAAATGCATACATGTTTACAAACATACTCATGCATTCTTCACATTCATCGCATATATTCATTATGCACTCACAATATATACATATCACAATATATACATATATTCATCATTTCATTCACACTATTCAAACATGGTTCACATTTACAATCCTCATACATCCCATACCAGCACGTATATTCAATATGCATTCACAACATATATATATATATATATATATATATATATATATATATATATATATATATATATATATATATATCACAATGCATATATACATATGTTCATTATTCATCTCATATCGCTTCATTCTAGATTCACATTTATAACTCACAATTATCGTGCCAAACGGCAACAAACTCAATCCCATCCATCATGCATTTCTAATCAACTTAAACAATGCATCACATATGCCAAAAGGCCACATATTCACAATCAATTCATAATCTAGGATTCACGCCATACGGCTACCCACAATACACATAACAACACATAATTAGTCATCTCAGACAGGGAATGATCGCAACGAAACCACACAATCGATCCACGAATGGAAAACACAAGAAAAGAAAATATGTTGCTGTGTTCGCTAACCTTTGCCTGACGATGTCCCTGGCGAACCTTCGCTACTCCGTTCGCCTGACGAACTTGCCAGCGAAGACCACTGGGATTTATTCTGGAATTACTCGCTAGCACTCGCTAGCATACTCGCCTGGCGAACCTTTTCCACTCTCATTCGCCTGACGAACTTGCCAGCGAAGACAAGGTGGATGCTTCTGACTTGGTTCGCTGGGCTTCGCCCGACGAAGCTTCGCCTCCATTCGCCTGGAGAACCTGCGAACTCAGAACTTCCATGGCTGTCCAAAAGCCCAAACCTCACAAACCGACCGATTTAATCCAAATCAGTTCCAGTAGCACAACCCACTCATCACCCGACTATACTACATCGTTTATTCCAAATTCTAACTGATAAAACTCAGTTTCTACCGATTAAACTCATTTCGACCTAAAATGGAAAATATAGAAAACAATCCAATACATCCAAACTAGCACATACATGATCATACACATTATGAAGATGATAAAACTTCTCACCCTTACCTGATTAACCGCAAGCTAGGGTTTGATCTTGATGTTTTCCAAAGTTTCCTCTTCTTTCTCTCCTCTTTCTCTTCTCCTTCTTTCTTTCTCTTTTCTTTCCTTCCTTCCTTACTATCTTTCTTTCTCTTCTATTTTCCTCTTTAATATCTTCCTATTATTTTTCCCAAAACATCTACTAACTCAATATCTCATAAAATATCCAACTTATCATTAAATAGGAAATGTCCAAAATACCCTCCAACTATTTTCTCCGAAAACTCTCAAAATCGGGTAAAATAGAACAATATGTAAACATAACATATTTCCACAAAAATTCCACATCAAATTAATATTCGCCCAATTATAATCAAAAATGACTTAACGAAAAAGGGATAATCGAAATCGGGACGTTACAGTGTCGCCATATGATATGACGCCTTGGTTTAAGAGTTGAAGTGGTGGCGCCATATGAGATGGCGACTCACCGTAAGCCCACGCACATCAGCCATTTCATATGACGCCTCAATGCTTGTTTATACCCACTTTGAGAATTTTTTTGAATTTTCTATATATAATAATTTTTTTTTATAAAATTATAGTTATTTTAAAAAAAATCCAACTTTAAACAAGCAATAATATTAAATTTTTTTAAAGAAAAGCTTTGTTATCTATTATAGTCCTACCCAACTTAAAAAATTATTTTATATGATATTTAGCTGAGTCACCTCATTATCAAATCAATCTTCTTTTTTTCATTTTTCTAATATTAATATAATTAATAACATTTTCATAGAAAAAAGTTAGTCAAAAAATGAATAAAGTAGAAATCTTTCACAATAGAAAAACTGTTTATTGTAATAATATATTTATTTATTTTCTATTTAGTTTATTATGTGGATCAAAATACCATTTTTCCATTTAAATGTAATAAGATAACAAAAAAATATAAATGTTTCCTTTTTAAATTTTTTTCCATTATTTTTATCACATTTATTTCATTTTTTTAACTTTGTAAATGACAAATAATGAAAGGTGTTCTAGAAAACTGTACAAATAAATAAATAATATGAGAACTATTTATTTATTTTTAATTCATAAAATATTACTATTAAACATTGTGCTGTTTTTCAGTCTAAAAAAAAACAGTGCTATATTTTGTTTTTAAAAATGCTACTATATTTTTTTCTCTTTTATATCTTCTTATCTATTTATATATAATATAACTATTTATCATTACAAAATATGACTAAACTAAAGAATTTTTTATTTATTTTGTTTTCATCAATTCATGGACTATATTCTGAAAATATTTTAAAATATTTAACAAAATTTAAAAGAATGTATTAAATATTACACAATTGTATTATACTTTATTCATTAAGAAAAATCAAACCACTACTCCTTTCTTGGTCTAAATATTCAGATGCTAGAACTTAATATAGAAAAAATAAACAAATTTAGTCAAAAATTGTATCTAGATTTAAAATTATTAAAACAAAGAAAACACAAAAAATATACTTAAAATTATGAAATATATATTTATAAATTAATATATTTTTGACTCATTTAATATATATTAATAAAGCAATGTTGAACTTTAATCTAACAATTTTCACTATATATAGCATAATATAGTCTATTTTTTAACCCTAATGTTTTAATAGAAAAAGAATTTATAAACTATATCAAATAAAAAAACTCATAAAAAATTTGCATTTGCAAAAGAGTGCTCACGTTTTCCATTCCATCTGAAAACCTTGATAAAATCGAAAAGGTAGTAAACCGCCTGGTAATTCATTTCCCACGGTTTGCTGACTCAGCAAAAAAGCCCTATAAAGAGTGATAGGGTTTTCTTCTTCATTCATATTTCACTTCCAGTTTGTTCTATACCCATTAGACCCTTGTGTCAAATTTCAACCTTTTTTCTCAATTGTTCTTTTCTGTACTTTTTCTGTGCTCTAAAACTATTTTTAATCACATATCTTTGGTTTCGTTTTCGTTGAACAGTTATTTGATTGGAAGCTTGAATGAACATGGTGCTCAATATTCAATATGGGTATAACTTTTTTTCTCTCTCTCACTAAGTATTGTACTTATCGACCATATTCATAAGTTTAGAATTTGAATTCCAGTTGAGTTATGTAGTAATTTGAGATATTTGTGATATTTGGTAGCGTGTTAGTTTAAGTTCATTTCTGTCTGTTTTTCTTTTGGTGTAATCCTGCATTTGTAAAGTAGAGAAAGAATCTTTGACTGTATCTTTCAAAAATGGAAAACTCGAGCAACAGACATAACGAGAATATGGGTGTAAGCAGAATAGGGAAGACAATCAAAAAGAATTCATCGCAGCAAACAATTGAGTTCAGTGGCAGACATCATTACCCGCAGACGAAAATTCATCACATTCACAGAGATGATTTCAAGAGTTTTGTTATGCGGACTACCGGAAGAGAATCAAAAGGGCCTACTAGAACTCAATCTGAGTTTACTAGGTTGCAGCAAAACAGGCCTCCTCCGTTGGCCAATGTGCGGCCAATTGTTCAGTTTCCGATGCACCCACCACCACCGCGAGTGCCTTACATTAATGGACTGGCTGTCCCTCCTTTGCAGCCTATTAGTGGTCCTTCCATTTACGATAATTCATGGAACAATTTCGTCGAGTCTCCAATCTCAGCTTTCATGAGAAAGTTTCAAGAATCGGAGAACTACTACGGTGGTGTTGGCGGTGCTTCAAGAGGTAATCAATTCCAACCATACCCTCCTCCTCCTCCGCAACAAGAAATGATCAACAATGTTAATGTTAATGTTCAATTTCAACCGCAGTATTTTCCAATCCAAACTCAAATGGTTAACAATGGCAACCTATCATCTGCTAGTGCTAGCAACCAAACTTTTCCGAATCTTAACTCTTCCGTGTCTATGAATATTGCTAGCAACCATCCTTTTCCTATGAACAATGCCAACCAATTTCTGAATAATTTTCCTCCGTCACAAGCAAATTACTCTATGTGGCCGACTTCTGAAAACTTGTTGGCTTCACCAACACAAAAAGTGAATGTCCTATCCCCTCAGTCACCTTATAGGCCTCTTCTGTCACCAAGCATTTTCTCTTCGCCTTCTTCGCCGGATTACCCTTTCGAACCATATTTACCTAATGAGATTTTAAGTCCCGACCCTCCGTCTCCACTTTCTGCAGGCGTATTTCCTTTCACAAGCCCTAGGGGGCCAGATGATCATGAATAGTCTTCTCATAGTTCATTCATGGTGCTGCTACTGTCAAAGATCATAGTTCATCAACTCATTTTGTCTTTATTTCTTTTACTTGTTTTGTTATTGTTATGTAAGGATGCTATTTTTTTAAAAAAATAAATAATGTAATGGGTTATTATCAAAATACCTTAAATTCTTGCTATTTCTCTTTATTTTGTATGGAATTTTTTATGTAATGATTTTATTTGGCAACTAAAGATAAAATCTACTTGGCCATTTAGTTTCCCATTCCATCAATGGCTGTTTTAGGAAGATTTTTGTTGACTTGACTTGAGTTAAAAATAACAAAAACTTATAATTTTCTATCAAATTGATTGAATTGAATAGGTTTGTAAAAAAAAGTGAATTGAATACTCTTAATCTTGATTGGTAGGTGTATTAATAATAAAAAGAATGATTGTATTTAGACTTATTTATATTTTTTTAATATATTAGTTTTTTTTTTAATATGCAAAGAGGATTTTCATCAAAAGAGAAATAAGGGTATTTTAACCTAATTACATAAACATTAAAGAAGCTTAAGACTAGAGAAAAAGGTTTTTATATAAATTATCGTCCACAGATAGATGGTCAGACTAAGAGGGCGATTCAGTCACTTGAGAATCTTTTGAGAGTTTGTATTGAAAAAGGGAGGAGCTTGGGATAGCTATTTGTCTTTGATTGAGTTTACTTACAACAACAGTTTTCATTCGAGTATTAGAATGACACTGTTTGCGACATTGTATGGTAGGCGGTGTAGGACGTCATTGTGTTAGTATGAGTTAGGAGAGTGTTGTGGTTGGATTTGAGATAGTCTAGCAGACTACTGATAAGATTAAGATGATTCAGAAGAAGATGAAGATTTCTCAGAGTCGTCAGAAGAATTATCATGACAATAGGAGGAAAGCACTTGAATTTCAAGAAGGAGATCATGTGTTTCTTCAAGTTACTCTGATAACTGGTGTTAGTAGAGCGTTGAAGTCGCGTAAGTTGATACAGTGTTTCATTGGTCCTTATCAGATTTTACAAAGGATGTGATAGGTAGCCAATTGTGTTGCTTTGCCGTCGTCGCTTGCTAGTCTCCATGGTGTGTTCCATGTATCTCAGTTGAGGAAATATATTCCAGATCCGTCTCATGTAGTCCAAGTAGATGATATGCAGGTGAGAGATAATTTGACTGTGGAGACATCACCTATGCTGATAGAGGATCGAGAGTTGAAGCAACTTCGAGGTAAAGAGATTGCTTTGGTGAAGGTCGTTTGGCAAGGACCAGCTGGTGGAAATGTGACTTTGGAGCTTGAGAGTCAGATGAGGGAGTCTTATCCTAAGTTATTCGTTTGAGGTAATTTTCGAGGGCGAAAATATTTTAAGTGGAGGAGGGTTGTAACACCCTAATTTTAGTAATTATTTATTTATTAAATTAATTGATTAATTGTGTAATTTTGTGCTTATTTGATTTAATGGATTTAATTGAGTTATGTAATTTATTGAATTAATTAAATTAATTGATTTATTATATTTGGTAGAATAATGTAGAATTTCTAGATTAATTAATTGAGCCTATTAGCAAGTGTGAGTAGTAAATGGGAGAGTGGGTTAGTGAGCCCAATAGGTTAATGACTTTTGTTAGGGTTTACCAAAATGAGTAAGAGATAGAATACAAAGATAGAAAGTTGAGAAAAGTGGCTAGAGAGAAAGAACAGTGGAGAAAGAGAAGAACCAAGAGAGAGAGCTCAAGAATCATCAAAAATCAAGGCAAGGGTGAGTTTTTATATTACTATTGGAATTGCATGATAGTATATGATGGGTAGTATCATATTTATGATAGAAATCCCTAATTTCCATGGTTTTGAAATTGATAATTACATTATGTATGATGATATCATCCTTAAATATATGTTTTGGGCTGTTATAATTGTTATATAATGGTAGTATTTCGAATTCTCGAACTGGGGCTTTTTACGGAATTGAAATCGGAAGTCCAGAAGGCCTCCAACGGTGAAAAACGTAGAAAATTCTACATACTGTACTGTTTGCATCGACGCATCCGTCGCAGCGGTCGACGCATACTGAATGCATTTTTCTGGATTTGTTTCTGCCTTCAATGCGTCGACTGATCCCGTCGCTAGCGGTCGACGCATGCTGTGTATTAGTAAAAATTTTGTTTCGACGATTTTGGCCATAACTTTTGATCCGTAAGTCCGTTTTGGTCCCCATTTGAAGCTCGGAAAGCTAATGAATAGAGCTATATCATAGTATAGATAAGAGAATTGGTTTCCAAATATTTTTATATCTAATATTTATGGGGAATCAATTGTGTATATGTTCTATTAATGGATTGTTGTGCTGTTTGCTGCCGGTTGTGAAATGATTTGTGGATAATTTATCGAATACTTATGTGTGTGCTTGTATAACTCTATTTTGGGTGTGAAAACATGATACTCATGATAGTTATTGCTTTTTATAATGATAATACAATTGTGATTATATTGTAAAATGTGTTGTATACCAATTGAAAGTGAATTGTGTATGGACGATTCATAAAAATGTGCAAGTATGTGCAATTGTGTGGTAATTCAAGTGTGATGAATTATTGAAGATATACATGAATGTTAAGATTAAGGAATGGTCTTAATTGCACATGGTTGTTGAAATTGCACACGCATCATTTGTGTCAAGAGGAAATGCTTGTTAATTCCGTGGGAGCTAGTGACTTGTCCCAGACCTAGAGGGGAGTTTGAAAGCTTAGAGAATGGACTTTTATGTGTTATTGTTCTAGGGAACGGACCCAATTTAAATATAAAAATCAAAAAATAATAACAAGTGTTGGTACCTGTCATACCCCAAATTTGTCCTACCCCTGTATATCCACCCACTGTTTATAATTCGAAAATTTCAAATAAAATATGTTGTTTCTATCATAAGGTTGAAATGAATCGAGTCAAGTTTCGTGTTGAGTTTTATCAGGGAGGTCATAAGTTGAAGACGTTCCGTGGTTGAAGGTTATCCGGGGCCAGATCATTCCTATTTTAGGAATTTTGTGTAGTAAAGTTCTTATTTCCCTGGTTAAAACATATGTAAGTAAAGCTTTAAAAGAACTCCTGACATAATTCAAGAGGAAATTAGTCTGTTTGTAAGATCATGTTTTTTGACATGCTTCCAAGAGCAGTTTTGCCAATGAGGGTGTTTATATCTTAAAATGAATTGATGAGACCACATGGAAGTTCTTGTGTATATCCATTATGGTCTTGATCCCTATTCAGCTATGTGGTATTTTTTTGGTGGAAACAAAGCAAAGATATGTTCTCATTTTCACGGTAAATTAAGATGAGAATAATTGGTTTTAAGTGCTTGTTAAGTCATATTTCAAGAGGATTACAAGTCATGTTTCAAATAGGCACGAAGATCATGTGGTTAAAGATGATAAAGGAGAAATTCCTTTCCAAATTAGGGTTTTAGGCAGTGGAATTCATATTTCAAATCTTGATTCTCTGATTTTTTAAAGCATGATTCATCAGGTTCCATCTATTTCAAGCAAGAAGATGAGAATTTTGGAATTTAATTGGAATGTCAAATTTTAAGGATCATGAGTTAATCAAAGAATTCAAAGTTTAGGCATGGTGGAGGTGCACCTAGTTTTCACTAAAGAGCCCATGTCATTTCAAAGTTTCTACAAAGGATTTCAAGCCCATTATACACATTTCAAATTCCAAAATAAATAGATCAAGAAAGCTCATTACACAAAAAAGGGATTCTACAATGAGTACATGTCCCAAAAGCCTTAAGTTCATACAAGTCCATTTACAATTTTCATACAAACTAAATCACCAAAATTAAATATGACGTTACAGGAAACCTGCAGTCAATGTGAATACATGGATTGTAAAGCCATTTCGCCATATTACCATTACCCACACAATTTGCACCAAGACTTCGCCCGGAATTCTATAGAAGCGACAAATAATCACTTCCCGTGCACAGATGAGGAGCCCACCTGCACAACTTTTCAGTAAAACCTGGGTATCGCATATGGAGTCGTTACTACGATGCCTCAGCCTTCTCACAACACGACAAAGCTATCAGCTCGACAAGCCCGTAATTTGCGGCTAATTTGTATACACCTCTTGCTGATGTAAGGCGACACAAAAACAAACCACAAAATGCGCACCTCAATTGCAAAACGCACCTAAAACTTGTACGAAGAACTGACCCAAAACGTATCGCAACAACATTTCTAGCTCTCTCTCCATAAGACCTGTTTTGGTTCCTAAATGCATCTGGACTCAGAAAGGAGGGGAAAATTTAAACATAACCCTTCTCTTCTTCAGAACTTCAATCTTCGCGTTATAACGCACCAGTCATGAAGCCATAAAACAAAACAAAGGAAAACAATAAATCAACTAGCAATGAATTATGCAAAAACAAGAAAAAGCCACAACCAATATAACCTGCAAAAATACATAAGAAAACTATATCATGAATACAAACCAACAGACTTGCAACCATTACATAAAGCCTTTCACACCAAAACACTCCCAGCTGCAATATGTACAGCGCATAACCTGCTGTTCCAAACGCCCTTCACTCGACAAAACCTGCAGCAGTTTGTACAAAGCAAAATGAAAACCCCATACAATTACACACATCACTCCACACACTAGCCTGCTACAGACAATACCTGCACCAAAGCCACTCCAAGCCAAATCTGCAACAAGGTACAACATAAAGCAACACTCTGCTATGCTTTAATTCCCCCACGCCAGACATCCTATCCTGCACAAACAGCCAAAAGAAAAAACCTGCACAAACAACAGCAACAACAGGAGATTTGGAAAAAGAGAACCATAAAAAGGGGAGGAGGCCGCCTACTTCATCGGGGGGGGGGGGGGGGGGGAGCCACAAAAAAACCCTAGCCGCAACTACCTCTCTCCTTCAACCTACAAACCAGCTTCACGCGAAACTCAGATTCCTCAACCAACAAGTTTCGAAAACCA